AGCTCTGTCGTCTGGCAGAGGTCCAGTGATCGAAAGTTGCTTCGTCCCTAAGTTTTGCACACCAGTGTACATTCTCGGACGAGTTTCACCGGCGCTGTAGAGGCCGCACCGATCTCAAGGGAACCCAAGGGAACATGGTGCAATCTTTGAGCCGTTATAACGCCCTAACTAAGCCGTTCTCCTACCTGATAGCGCCAGATATGATATGAGAGGTTCCCCGAATTATCCTGTAGGGAAATGTCAAAAACCATTTTTATCGTGAACTGTGCCTTCAAAGGTTCTGAAGGAAGATCAAACAACTTGTCAGACCCATAATGATAGTGGAAGGCGATTCTGGACAGTTTTAGCTTAGTGAAGTCAGCTCTTTGCGCAATGGCATGGACTGAAATCTCGTCCAAATACCCCTTCTACGTCAGTTCCGTCATGGTAATCCCGTTCAACTTCTATTTCTCTACTTTGAGGAACATTGTTTTCTCGAAATTGGCGACTTTTATTCTTTTCACCTATACTTTCGGTTTTTGAATAAAAACTGGTAAAATTACCGTGAAGTGTCCCTTTAATCTATCAGCAATATGTGTATTGATGAATTTCAGAAAGTGATCAGCAGGTTGTGCCGCGCACCTTTCACAGTATCGGAAAGCAAAGGTTAATCATCGTCATTTTCGAATGCTCTGATATTAGAGTGCTTCACAATGCTTGCCTTCTCCTTGCTTCGACCCTTCAATACAATTGGAAAACTGTCATTCTGCAGTCACTGGGTGGCAACTAACGTCTTCTATACACCCTGAGTCATCGGACGTCAAACCGTATGCGCCTTCCCTTCTCCGCTATCCGATTGACCACCTGTGTGGCGAAGCGGCGAACTAGGGTTTTAGAAGAGTTCGGAGACGAGACGGGCAATAGAATCGAATTCGTGTAATCGATTAGCCGCGCGCGCGGCAGTCGCGGACCATTCACCTCGGTCCACGACTGCCGCGCAGTTCTAGCGTTCTTCATACAGCTCAAACGATATGCGATTACTATTATAGGCATGATTCTACTGTTGATTCCTCCGTACCTGTATTTCTTACCTGCTACTGCGTTCTGCTACATCCCTTCGCGCGCGGCATCCCTCTCGCCACGACGCAACAATTTCGATCCTCGTGCACCACACCCGGTTTTGTGACTTATTCAGGTGACATCGCTTTCTTCGCTAATTAGTAGTGGCAATTATGATTCTTGTGGAGGTGGCAGAACAGGAGGTTGCACTGTAGATGTCATAAAATAACACTGTGTCTTTATTACCAATTATACACGTTTATTGATAACCATATAATGAAAGCATAGAAGAACTGATCAGAAAATGGTAAGTAATACACATATACAATACACGGTAGAAATAGCACAATAAATAGGGCACTATAACTAAAATTACATGACAGCATCATTAGCATTTGTACAACCTGTAGGCTCGAGATATTCATTTCTTCTGAGGAGCGGCCATGATAGGAATAGTTCTCTTCTGCTTGTGGCCCTCGATACTCTTCGGCGCCTCCACCGACAAATGGCCCTTGTCATCAAGCTGAGTACGAATAGCTTCCAGATCGACATTTTCGGGAAGTAGCCATCTGCGAGTGAACGATCTGGAATATTTGTAGCGATCAATAAGTGTTGAATGCACACGATGAAGCTTAAAGAACTGATAGCTCCTACCTGTGTATGGCGCTGTTCCCCGTTTTGTGCTCCTGCTTGCCTTCGATGGTCAACTCACGCCCTTCCAAATGCACGTTCAACTCCTCTGGACGGAACTGGGACACATCCAGGGAGACAGCAAACTTCTTGTCGTCGTCTACCATCTGCAATTCAGATTTCTCGTTTGAGTATGCTCACTTTCACTGGCTATGACCTTTTCAGAGAGAAATCCTTACCTGATGAGTTTCGTTGGCCACATGAAGCACTGTATGGTCAGCATCTCTCCAATATGGGAAGATGCTTCTCTCGAACCGATCGAGATCCCTCATTGTATCGTACAGCATACGGTCAGTTAGACGCGCTACTGGCCACAATACCATTATTGACGGTCAGGAACTTCCTGGAAGGATGATTTTTGTGGTTTTGTAGTGGAATGATGAGAATGTTAATAAAGAGGTCACGAAAGAACTCACAGAGAGGAAGTAAGCGGTGAAAGTAGGAGTGATGCAAGCGATACTGGCAAGTGCTTCAGGAATCTCTTTATGTACCCGCAGCAACGACCTTCGAGAACCTCATGGAACATTCGTTGTTTGTTGTTTCGTCGGCGCCTCGCTTTCTCTCGCAGGGCCCCGCCCACCTGTTGACATGACGCCGGCGCAGCGAGGCGAAGGGGCGGGGTCAGAAGGTTCCCGAAGGTTCTCGAAGAATCTCCCCGAATGGTATATAAACAGCCCCGAGAGTGGCGGTTTCAACACACTAAGCTCATACTTCTCAGCAATCG